GTTGTATATGGGAGAAGATCTGTAGCTCAAGGTAGAACGCACACTTTTGCATTCAGAAGGTCTGGGTTTAATCCCCAAGAATCTCGTTTTGCAGAATTAAGAATGATTTTTTCTCTTTCAGCACAGTTCCTAGTCAGAGTAGGCAGTTCTTGGTCCATGGTCTGCCTTGACATACAGCAGCTTCATATGCTCATTTGTTTAACAGCAAGGTCACAGCAGCATTATATGACTGGCTAAGGCAACACTATAAATTAACTAAGTGAGGAATACAGTTAGATATAGAAACATACAAGAAGGGAACCTGCAAGGATTTGCAGGGAAGGAGGAATCCCATGTCCTCTCCCCAGTTCCTGCTTCCACCTCCTCTGGTGCTGGCCCCCACTTTTATTCCCTCCATTCTACCAAGTCTTCTTCTCCCCACTCTATCTTCACTTCTCCCCTACCCACACCTGCTCACTTGGTCAGTTTTCCATCCACCCTGATTACCTGCTCTCGTATATACACTCTTCCCCCTCCTGCCTACCTGCTTACCTCTCTAGTGCCACAGGCAAAGGGAGGAAACAGGTGGGCAGAGGAGACAAGCCATATTCAGTTCCATCTTCCCCTTCACATGTTTTCTGGGTAGCCATTGGCACCATGTCTTCATGTGGCACTTCGGATTAGTATGACAATGTTTTTTGCCCTCCATTACAATTTTTTTAAACATACAAAAAACTAAAGAGACTTATCAGCTGATTAAATCGATGGCTCTGAGAAATGGAAAGGATTTAACTGAGCTGCGTTGCTGAGTAGGATCTTTATTTTATGTTCAGCTCAAGTATAAACTTTGTATGTAAAGTATCTTTTAATAAAAAATGGATAATTGCCTTGTGGGAGACATGCTCCTCTACTCTCCCCACAAAATCATATCAATTTCAGTTCTGTGAACATGGAAGTTAATTTGATTTGGAAACTTATTTTACTCTGACATCTGTACTTTGCCTACTGGTAGTATTATTTTATACAGGCCAGACTTGAGCCTTTTGCCTGTCTTTGCAAATACTGAAGCAGTGCTCCCAATCTACAGCAAGCCCGTGAGACAGAGGAAGCTTCCCTCTTTGTGGACCTGAAACATTTTCTACTATCATATCCTAGCCATAAATTACCCATGCAGTTACTGGCTTGCCTCCAGAAGTCAGATTAAAGTCTTTTTATTTTAAGTACTATTAGTAGTCTGGTTCCAATGCAGTTCAAGTAGACTCAGTCTCTTATACAGGCCCAGTTCTAGAAGTCCAGTTTACACTCTTGCGTCTTTGTGCTATTCATTTCTCCTGCATCCTGCAATTTTTAATGTGTGTGTGTGTTAAGTGTCATCAAGTCATTCCCAATTTATGATGACCCTATGAATTAATGACCTCCAAAACATCCTATCATTAATAGCCTTGCTCAGGTCTTGCCATGATTTCCTTGATTGAATCAATCTGTCTCACGTTAGGTCTTCATCTTTTCCTGCTGCCTTCAACTTTTCCTAGCTCTATTGTGTTTCCCAGTGACTCTTCTGATAATGTGACCAAAGGACTGTAGTGTATTCAATAGCTATCATTGAATGCATGTGTATGATGAATCACTTCATATGAACACCATGTAAAGCTTCGCCCTGGGCTAGGATCCAAATGTAACCAATTGGAGAACTAGCCCAGGATGTGTCATCCAATCACTTCACAGCAAGCTCCCCGAGCGGGAACGCGCGTGATTGGTCATTATAACTTTAACCCTATTGGTTGTTATATGTACAGTGGGCGTGGCTATATTAGCGGGGAATGTTTAAAAGCAGGACAGCTGCAATGTTAAGCCGAGTCCTGGCTGACTGATGTTGATCCGTGTTGGAAGTGAGTTCGAGTTGAAGAATAAAAGCCACATTCTTGCTGAATCACTCTCCGACTCTTTGTTAAGTCCGCGACTTAACAAGTACAATAGCCTCAATTTAGTTATTTTAGCTTCTAGGGAGAGTTCAGGCTTGATTTGATCTACAACCCACTTATTTGTCTTTTTGGCAGTCCATGATATCCGGAAAACTCTCCTCCAACACGACATTTCAAATGAATCAGCTTTCTTCCTGCCAGCTTTCTTCACTGTCCAACTTTCACACCTGTACATAATAATAAGGAAGACTATAGCATGAATTATCTTGGTCTTTGTGGCCCCCAAGACATCCTTACACTTAAGGATTTTTTCTAGCTCCTTTATGGCTCCCCTTCCCAGTCTCAACCTCCTTCTGATTTCTTGTGTGCAGTCTCCCTTTTGGTTGATGATGAAGCCAAGGAATAGAAAATCTTTAACAGTTTCCATTTCTTCATCATCAGTGCTAAAGTTGTGTAATTCTTAAAGAACGTAAAAACGTAAGAAGGGCCCTGTTGGATTAGACAAATGGTCCATCTAGTCCAGCATCCTGTCTTCACTATTTTCTGCCAGTAATGTGGTGTTGTCTACATAGCTCTTATTGCTAATGTTCCTTCCACCATTTTTCACTCCACCTTCATCTAAATCTAATCCAGCTTTCCTTGTGATATGTTCTGCATATAGATTACAGAGACAGGGAGATAAAATGCATCCTTGTCTGATATATTCCAAGTGGAAACTATTCTGTTTCTCCATAGTCTGTCCTAACAGTAGCCTCTTGTTTGGAATACAGGTTGAGCATCAAAACAATCAGATGCTGTGGCAGACATATTTCTTTTAAAATCAACCATAGCTTTTAATGATTTACACAGTCCAAAGCTTTGTTGTAATATGATTTTCCTTTGAAATTCTTTCATATACTACAGTAACCAACATAAATTTGCAGTATGTTCTCCAGTGCCTCTTCTTTTTCTGAATCCAGCTTAAACATCTGGCATTTAGAATCATAGAATCATAGAGTTGGAAGGGACCTCCAGGGTCATCTAGTCCACCCCCTGTACAATGCAGAAAATTTACAAATACTTCCCCCTCCACACCCACAGTGACCACTGTTCCACACCCAGAAAATGACAAACCTCCAGGATCCCTGGCCAAACTGCCCTGGAGAAAAATTGTTCCCTGACCCCAAAGTGGCAATCAGCATTTCCCTGGGCATGTAAAAAAGGGCCACAAGAACTAAGCACCGAGGCAACCCTTCCTGCCCTCCCTCTCATGATCTGCCTAAGTTCACACAATTAGCATTGCTGTCAGGTGGCCATCTAGCCTCTGTTTGAAAACCTCCAAAGAAGGAGAGTCCACCACCTCCTGAGGAAGCCTGTTCCACTGAGGAACCACTCTGTCAGGAAGTTCTTCCTAACGTTTAGCCAAAAACTCATCTGATTTAATTTCAACCCACTATTTTCACCTCGTCAACCAGATCTTCCCTGTTGGTAAGAATGAAGTCCAAGATAGTAGATCCCTTTGTTTCCGTCTCCACTTTTTGGGAAATGAAGTTGTCAGCAAGACAAGTCAGGAATTTATTGTACCTTTCATTTTCTCGTTCAAGATATGGTAGCAGTCTTTGTTGTAAGATTTTGAACATCACTTTACTTGTGTGAGAAATTAATGTGACAGTCCGACATTGCTGCAGTCTTTGATGTCTCCTTTTTTTGGAATTGGAATGTAGATTGAGTGTTTCCAGTTTGTGAGACATTGTTTTGTTTTCCATATTTGTTAGGATTTTGATGGACTCTCTTTCTTTGACTTGAAATAACTCTACTGATATCCCATGTATGCTTTGACTTCACTTTCTAAAATTGCAAGTTCTTCTCCAAAAGATTCTTTTCTCGGATAGTTCTTCAGTTGATTGTTCACATGTTTTCTTTATTTTGTCCTGTTTAGTTGATGTATTCTCAGCATACCTGATTGTTCTTTAAATTTCCCGTTGGTTTTTAAAGAAAATTTCTATGTATATAATATATAGCTTCACAACTTTATTTTGTCCTGTTTAGTTAATGTATTCTCATGTTGATCTTTCAGCATACCTGATTGTGCTTTAAATTTCCCATTGGTTTTTTTTTAAAAAAATTATGTATATAATATATAGCTTCACACAAAGAACAAGGGTGAATAGATTTCAACAATACTTTATTATTTTTTGACAATCATATATCTCCTATCCAGGAAACTTGCCCAACGTGGCTTACAAAATAAAGCATAATAAGAACATATAACATTAAAAATTGTTAATTAAAATCCAGTACTAGCAACCCGACCACAAATTAAAAACATAAGTTACAAAACAGCTGAAGATGAATTTAGTAGTTTTCAAGTTAAGGGCAACTATAAAAATGGTGATAAGTATCAGTCCCTTAATGAAAAGCCTTGATAAACAGAAATATTTTGATCTAGTACCTACAAGAGAGTAATGTAGGTGCTAAGCAATATTCTACAGGTGAGATGCCAGCACTGAAGAAGCCCTATCTCTTGTTCACTTCCTCTATACCGCTGAAGGTGAGCACAGCGACAGCAGGGTTTAAGAGGAGGATAGTAGCTGGTAGATAATATGAAATGAGGTGGTCCTCCAAGTACTCTGGACACAAACTGGCTTTCAAGATGCTGGAAACAGTTGGGCAGCCAGTGCAGATTTTAAGCATGGTGCAGATATTTCAGGGTGATACAAGCCTTTTATCCCACTCCTGACAGTAGCCTGCTGCCGTATTTTGGGCCAGCTGAAGTTTCCAGATCATTTTCAAAGGCAGCCCCATATATAACACATCATAATTAACTAACTTGGATGCAATCAGAGCATGGGCCACTAATTTAATTAGTGATATCAATTATTTTGGCATAGGAAGTGTGGTGGGGTCTTGATTGAATTTTCAGTATTCTGATTTCAGCTTTGCATGCATTGTTCTTTTCAAAAAACAACAACCCCGTTTTTATTTGAAAATAAGTTGCTGTGAGTTGTTCAGATTAAGTTTAGATATTTTAAAAAAATATAACGGAATAAATGTTATAAATGGATCGTTGGGTATCTTGGTTCGTTAAAATGCTGGCAAATGCTTTGCTTTTGCTTCCAGGGCTGTGACTCCCAAATGAGCATGTCAGAAATGTCCTGCAGTGAAAGCACCTCCTCTTGTCAGTCTCTGGCACATGGCTCAGCTCCAGAAATCCTCATTGGACTGCTTTATAATGCCACAACTGGAAGACTAGCAGCAGAAGTGATAAAAGGCAGCCACTTCAAAAACTTGGCAGCAAACAGACCACCCAGTGAGTGGGATTTTTTTTCCTATCCTAATGCTTGTGCTCTTGGGGGGATTTCAGTGGTGGGGACTTCAATCCTATCATTTAGTCTTACCCAGTCAAACTGAAATAGTGCAATCATCAGCTAATCTGTTTCATGTTTTATATTGCCAGTCAGCTGGGAAATGGCAGAAATCTAAAATTCAAAATATTAGTTGCGATTTGACAAGATCATTTTAATTTTTCATGATGGACTGACTAATAAATTACTTTTATCATAATGATTAATTGCTGAAGTATTAATGCCTCACATCACAGAGCCAATATTAAAAGTTACAGTGTCTTTTTAAAAAAGCGTGCCAGCGACTTGTAAATGAGTGAGGCTATGGCTGCTCTGAGGATCCTGACAGAAGAATGTATAAGTGTGTGAGAGCATAAGTCATATTGATGCTTGCACTTTAGATTTGGTGCTCTAAATGGTGGTTAAAAATTATTCCTGATATCCAGTATGAACAAATGTGTCACTGACTTTTTTTCAGACCAAAGCAGGTTTATGCTGAGTCCTTTCATGTAAGGGCGGTGGGGGTGGCCCTGACTCAGTGGTTGATTGTGTGCACTACATGCAGACAATTCCAGTTTCCATTTCCTGGCATCTTCAGTTAAGCAATCTGACAAAGCAGGTGTCAGGAAAGACCTTTCTCTGTTTGAGACCTTGGAGAGCTGCAGAATATTGAGCTAGATGGAACACACAGAGTAGTCAGAACCAAGGCTGATGTTCTGACATGGAACAAGGCAGCTTCATGTGTTTGTGGAGAGGTACACAGTTCAGTGTACATACAGAAGGTCCCAGGTTTAATCCCTGGCATCCACTATTAAAGAATCTGCCATCTCCATTTGAAGAACAGATGATACCAATCTAGATAGACCAAGGTAGCGTCATGTGTTCATATGAGTTCATTTTGCGTGAAGTAACAAGATGGGACCAGACATACATGGTCTGAGCATCCAGATCCAATCCCTGGTAGCTGCACATTCATGATCCAGTGCAGAAAAATAATCATTGGTACAAGAACCATGGGTGATTTCCCACAAGCACTGCTCCGCGCTCACTCCGCCCTTTTGCCCGGATGGTATGTGTCAATTTCACACAAGTTGCTGCGGGCCGCATTTTGCCCCGCAGCTTCGTGCGATTTTCCCCGCGTCTACTCAATCCTCAAAAAACAGGATTGAGTAGACGCGGGGGAAATAGCACGAAACTGCAGGGCAAAATGCGGTTGCGCAGCAGCTTGTGTGAAATTGACACGTACCATCGGGCCAAAGAGAAGAGTGAGCGCGGAGCAGCGCTTGTGGGAAATCACCCCATGACAATGCTCTAAAAATTATTGGGAACGAGATTAGAACTCAGCCTGACAGTTCATTTTCAGCAGCAGCTCTCTGGCAAGCATAACATCTAATTCATGAGATGCCTGCGCAGTCCCACGTGTGTAGTGTGCATATGCAGGCCTGCCAAGGGAGATGTAGAAAGCTCTAGAAGTCATGAGGCACTCCTCCCCTGTCCCCCACAGATTGCTTCCTACACTTTTCAGCAGAGGGAGAGAGGAGTGCCCATCGCTCAGTTCTTTCTCTGATGCCACAGAGAGAGGTTGTGGTTTTCCTAGGTGTGTTTACCGATTTCCTTCAGTGCATTTGTCTTTTTTGGGGAGGCCAAATGGTGTTCCTCTCCAAACTTCTTCTGCCACCTTTTCAAAGTGCCTGAAAGCTGCATCCACAGTTTCCCAGCTATTCAGTTGCCTTGCCTTTTTCTCTTTGTTTTTGAGGCATAATGTCCTCAAATGCTCTGTTCAAGAAATGCATGGGTTGTGGGTGAAAATTCTGCAGATGGACAGCCATTCCCTCTGCATAATCTGCCTTGGAGAGGAACAGCATGTTTCCTAGTGCCCCATTAGCGAGCTTTTCATGCCTAAGGCTAGGCATGTTAGGGCTTCCCATTTAAAGGCTGTGTGATGGGAAAAAGCCCTCTCCTGCTTGGCTTCTGAGGGATATACCACTCCTGTAGGAGCAGACCTCCACACCTTGGTTCCCTCAAGTCCAAGGTCGATTCTGATATTAGGCCTATCTTGGTCTTTGGCCCTGCCAAATACTCTACCTATTTCTGGTCATTGTTCCTTGGAACTTTTCCCCCAAGAAATCAAAGCACAAGTACAATACAAAAAAATCTGCTGATGTGCCTTCTAAGCATACGTCTACTGACCATCAGAGCTCCCAGGTGTGAGAACCCTCACCTCTGCACCCTTAGAGATAGTCTGTGAGGTCCCATCTATCCCCAAGAAACCTTCTCCATCCTGAGCTCCCAGGTGTGAGAACCCTCACCTCTATCCCCAAGAAACCTTCTCCATCCCATCACTCATCTTGTGATGACCACTCTGTTTTTCTGATGTCAGAAGAGTAGCTAATTGATTCCAAGGGAGTCGCTCCAATTCCAAATCTGTCTTTGGTTCCAGGGCTGCCAGAGTATCCTTTATATCCCCCATGCACCAGTTCAAGCCCAGGGCTGCCCTCACCAGCACTATGGACATAAGTTGGTATCACATTTGCCAAAGGTCTCTCCCTATTACTGTATCAGCCAATACCAGGTTCAAGAGTCCTATGCTGATTATGATCCTTGGGCCCCATTTGTATTATCTATCTTTGGTACAAATCCTTATGGCCCAGATTGTAATCTGAGCATCCACCCCCATCTGCCTCTTTGGGAAGGGATCCAAACTTGGTACACTCTGCAGAAGTTCATCAATCTGCTTTCCTTGACACTAACCACATCTATGATCAACCTCTCTAGGTTGACTCTGAACCAGATTGTCTTTTGGAACGATCTCTGGAAGATGCTGTGGCAGATCCTACATCAGTCTGTCCAAGTGAGGACTTTAGCCTTTACACAGAGCAGCTGTTGTGCATGGCACATTCTCTTGAAATCAAGGCAGCATTAGATGGTGTGGGCAGGAGGGTCTCTGCATCTTCTGCATTGGTTTTCAAGATTTTAAATTACCAGACCATTACAGCCCACTATCAGCTTTTCCTCTGGGGGAAAAAATTGTCCTTATTTATATCTGATACTTGAGAAAAATAATAAAGATGCTAAGTTTTAATTGTTTTTATGTTCTTGTAGGTATTTTTGTTGGTTTTAATGGTTTTAAAGATGTGATTTTATTATATATGTTTGAATTTGTCAATTGCTTTGGTGGGCCTTATGAGATCAGAAAAGTGGGGTGTACATTTTGTAAAATAAATACATAAGATCAAGGCTACTAAACTTTCAAGGCAGCAGATTTCATCTGCTAAACACGAAGCACACTGTTTTGCTTGTAACCTGGCTGCTGCCGATTCCCTCAGATCAGGGGTGTCAAACATGTGCCCCGGGGGGCAGATTAGGTCCTCGGAGGGCTTCTATCAGGCCCGCAGTAGAACTGGCTGTCTTCTGCTTCTTCTTTCAGTTCTGCTGCTGCGGCATCGTAGGTTTGCAGCTTACAGATACACACCTGAACAGCATACTCAAGATTGCAACAGTACAGACATTTTGATGTAATAATTCAGAGCAACAGGTGTCAGTTATCAGACACTGTTAAATAAACAAAATATTGCAAGAGCGCTGTTTTAAGCATGTTTTTATTTTCATTTTTTTTAAAGTTTGTGTCCTTTATAAAGTTTATATCTCTGCTACCTGGCATTACATTTTATGACACACATGGCCCGGCCCAACAAGGTCTCATTTATGTCAGATCCGACCCGCATAACAAATGAGTTTGACACCCCTGCCTCAGATGGTACTCATGGCTATGCTCCATGGCCCTTCCAAATGGGACATGTGAAAAAGTGGAGGAACTTCCTTTCAGTGGCACAGAACTCTTTAGGCTTTAAAACAAATGAGGCCCTTGAAAGAATTAGAAAAAAATAAATTAATTGCCAAGATGCTGGATATCATTCCTACTCAGCAACTTTTCCAAAGAAGTAGGCCTTGTTACAGGCCATGCCATCCTTACAACTGAGGGAGGTGTTATCAGATTTTCCAGCATCATTCCACCTCAAACCTTTCCTACTCTCATCCTGCACTTCTGAATAGGAGGAGACATAACTCCCAGAAAGGCAAGGCCAGGGCCCCCTCAGTGAGGCCAATGCAAGCCCCTAAGCAGGCCTTTTGACAACCACTTGTTGACTTCCCCTCCTCCACCTGAATTGGGAAAACCCATCTCACCTGGGAGGATATGACTACAGACTATTGGGTCCACAACATTATCTCAGTGATATACCACCAAATTTCTAAACTCTCCAAGATTCTTCCTGTCAGTAGTGCATCCACCCATACCCAATCCCCAGCTGTTATCAGAGGTAGAGACCTTCTTCAGAAAGAAGGCAACAGAACCAGTGCCTGTGAATGAACAGCACCTTGACTTCAGGGCCGGATTTCGATTAAGAGAGGCCCTAGGCTACTCCACTTGTGAGGCCCCTCCCATTCCCCCACCCTCACGACAAGAAGAAAATGGAAGAGTGTTATAAACAAAGTTGAGTGAAGCCAAGGATGATGATGGGTATTTAAAATTCTGCTATTCACAATTTCTCCTCTAAAGGACATAAGATACTGTTAAATACCATAGTGATTGAACTTTGTAAACCTTTTGTGGAATAAGCATTAATTTTTAGGAAAATGAAGTTTTAATGTTATTCTTAAACCCCCCCAAAAAACCTTGAGTTTACGAATTATATTGCCTGGGAAGTGTAAATAATATGATCATGATTATCTGACAGTGTGGCACTTTTAGAATCTACTTTATGTTGTCATTAAACAGTCAGTTTAAAAATACATATTAAGAAGTAAATTATTACCATCAAATATAGTAAGACTAAAAATGTTTTTTTCTAGCCTTCCTCATAGCAAAATCATCCAAAACTTCATCAAAATTTGTTTGTCTAAGTTTGTCACTTTCAATGTACAGAATGCTCAGTGCGGACAACCTCTTGAGACATCGTGGCCCTTA